TTGTGTCTGAATACTGACCCTAAAATAATTGTAATCAGGGTCTCAAAGTGATATTTCCACTCCCATGTTCATTGCAGCATTATTTTCAATAGACCAGATGTGAAAACATTACAAACATTCACCAACAGGTAAGTCAATAAAGATATACTAGGGTGTTACTCAGACTTAAAACAGCAACCTACTCATAAATGACAGCATAAATGCACCTGGAGGACAGTTTCCTGGAAACTTCTAACCATTCCCAGGTAATTATTTATTCATAAATGTTGAAATACTGGTGCTTCTTTCATTCACCTGCTCCCCCTGCATGCGGACGTTCACATAAAATAATCTGTGCGCAGGTCTCAACGCACAGCAATGAGTTCAACATAACACAGGGCCAATAGAGAAGTAAATTCTAGGTTTACAAATCTCCAAAGCACCTGGACTTTACATTCTTTCATCTATGATCAGGAGACAATACAGAGGAATAAAAGTAATCATTCTGGGAGCCAAATTTATGATTTTTGTGGCCATAGTACTTTGATCTTCACAAGATCTTTTATCCTTAAGGCAATTCAAATTACACTTTTACAACTACATTGGTGTAAAATGAATATAACTAAAGCTTAAACGTATTTCCACTTTTTTGTTCCCTACTTTGAAAGAAATTCAAACATTCTTTTTGTTCCTAAAACTATTGTGGTCCCTGCGCACTATGAGTATTGTGTCTTATTATGGTTTGTGTCTAGATTTCCTCCAAAGCTTCCTGCACTGATGAGATGTGGGTTTTTCAGAGGTGGTTGAATCTAAAGTTTGTGATTGATTCTGTTCCAATGCTTGGATTAAAGTTGAGAGGGCTACACCTGCCCTAGGACAGGTAGCTTGTATAACATATAAGGACAGAAAGAGGTTTGTCTCTTCCCTCCCTCTCTTCTTGCTTTTGCTATCTTCCACCATCATGAAAGTTGCCCCTCTGCCATGTGTCACCCTGCCTTGGAGCCAGCAGATTATGGGCTGAAACCTCTATGAGCCCAAATAAACCTTTCCTCTTTTAATTTTATGTGTTAGGTATTTTGTCTCAGCAACAAGAGAAAGGCAACTAACACATGCCTGATGGCTTTCAGCTGTGGTCACTTCTTGCTGGTGGAACAGGATGTAAGTGTAAGCATCTCCACTTTAATTACTCACCCACAATTGCCTGAGCAGCTCCACTGTATGCCTCTAGGCTGGACACTGAGGGCTACAGAAGTGAAGATGACCACCAAGAAGGCTCACTTGCTTTTCCTGCTGCTAAGTCTGTAATTCCTCGCTCATTGTCAGAGAAATAAAACAAAGTCCACAAAAAAATGTATACTTACTTCAGGAAAAGAACACTGCTACTATTTCTTTCAACAGATGGTATTTCCCTCATATGAGGGACCCTAGAGAATATTGACGAAAGCACACAATATGGCCGGCCCTTAGAGAAGAAATTAAAAATCCATAAGCAGCAACCTTGATTGCCAGGGTTACACAAGCAGCAGTTTGCCATACAATAAATATCCAGAAGCTAATGGCCAGCATGCTGAGAACCTCTTATAATGGTGGAGGCTGAAAGCAATTTGTATTAACCTCATGATGTCTCAAGAAAATTAGAATGAAAATATTTATATAAGTTTTTATTTTCCTAAAGTGTGTATACATTTTTTGGCAGCTTCTGTATTTGATTAGTGCATAGGCAAGGGTGGTATCTTTACTGTGTGACAGGTCACAGCCTAGAAATCATACAGTGATATGTTCAATCATAATGATGGATGGATGTCCATATCTTACACCTAGTCCTGTAGATCTCATGAAAATGATATGTGAATGCTCTCAGTAAAAGCAAGATATATTCAAAGAAAAGTTGATATGCAAAGATCTCAATACAATGGGGACAAAAGTATAAAGATTGTGAGGGGGAAATTACAACCTGGAAGTCAGCATTGTGCCTCAGTTTCCCCTTTCCGATTTGCCCTGTTAGATACACACATCCCATCAGTATGAAAGTGTCATTCTGGGCATAAGGCTCAGCATGAAAGGGACTCTGAAGCCAAGCATACCCAGTACAGGAAGAGCTGAGCATTACTCCTTTATGGAAAGTGTTAGTCTGAAACTCTATAATCCAGCTTAAAAGAAAAACAATTGCAAGAAATTTCTCAATGACATGTGCACCTCTCCTTAGAACACTATCTTCTACATTGCACATAGGACAGAGGGCATCTCACAATGGTGACCAACATCCTCACTGGAGATGGATCCTGCCTGCCACAGCAGCATACGCTGCCCACATGGGGAGCCCCTTGCAGTCTGCAGCTGAAGAAGGGATGGGGCCTACCCCTGAACCTGGAGGTGCTTTCCTTCTCCTGCACCCATGTGTCCTTAAATTCTATACCTTCCAACACTTAGCCATGCTATAAAGGCCTCCTAAGCGTATGCCAAGTACCATGTATACACAGGTTAATAAAGCAGTAGTGTGCTCTGACTTAGTGGGGCTTAGAGTGTGAAAGAAGACATACCAATGCATGTCCTTTGTTTAGCCATTAACCTCGTGATCAGTGGCAGAGTGGGTATCACCCCGTTGGATTCAAACTCCAGTTTGACTCCTGCCCAGCTGTGTGACTGTGAAAATAACCTCTCTCTGTCTCAACTTCTTCATGTTTAAAAGGGAAATATAAAAAGGGCATTGTGTGAATGGAAAGAGTCCATATGCATAAATGATCAGTCAAGTACTGCAGAGAGAGTAGGGCATCCAAGGTTTGATCTGACACAATCAGCACCATATTTCTCCACCTATGCGAGGTTTACTATTTTAAATAATTTCTTTATCTCACACAGCAATTCACAAGTCCCCTTAAGAGCAGGGAGGGGATTTCATTCCTCTTCATAGCCCTTGGAGGACACAGACACTGGCATACAGAAGGGGACAAATAAATGATTGGAGATAAACCAATGAGTGAGTGCACTGAGGCTCTGCCAAAAACACAAGGATGTTCTCTTCCAGCTGTGTCTGTCCACCATGTAGGCCTTCCTCTTCTGGGCATAGAGACAGCCGAGCTTATTTCAGAAACAAGGGGTGGGCAGTCCTCCTGGACTGAGGAGACGGGATTCTCTTGACACTAAGGCTTTGGATTCTTGATCCTCAATGATAGACTATCAGACCCTAAAGACTGACTAGAAGTGGTGGTCATGTTGTGCACCAGCTTGGGGTATTTAAGCCCACAGTACCCAGCTATTTGGTCAAATATTCCTGCAAAGGTATATTTTAGAAGAGATTAATGTTGAAATCACTAGACTGAGAATAAAGCAGATGATTCTCAGTAATGTAGGTGGACGTCATCTAATTAGCTGAAGGCCTTAGTAGAAAAGATATATTTACGCTAAAGAAGAAACTCTGCCAGAAGACTGACTTTGAATGTGAATGCAGGCCTTCCTTGAAACTCCAGCCTGCCAACCTACCCTGAAGATTTTGGACTTGCCAGCCTCTACAGTTGCATGAGTCAAATCATTGAAATAATTCTCTTTTTTTCTCTCTGTCCCTTAACCCCGAGGCAATGGAGATACATAATATTACATTCCCTCAGTTAAAACTCCAGCTGCTACTGAACCTGACAGATGCAAGATTATTGCAATAAAAGCCGTAGAGAAAAGGCTGAAGGAAACCTCCTGGAAGATTGCATCCAATTCCCTTCCTACTTCTTGGAAAACAGAACCAGACACGGTGAGTAGCTGGCTCAATATCACACAGCATTTTAGTACCAAAACCACGCGAAAGACTTCTATCCATGATGTCCTATCCATTGTATCAAACAGGAGATGTTGGAGTGATAGTTTAGTTATTTGGATGAAGAAAAAGAAAAATAATACCAGTGGAGAGTTTTTTTGGACATTTTTGTGCCAGGCTATATCCTCAAGGCCATTCCATAATGACTTCCTTTGATCTTTTCAACAATCTCATGGCTGGCATTGGTCCCCCACTGACAGATAAGCCACAGGTTAGAGGATACAGGAGTCCTTTTATGCAAAGTTGCTGGTTGGAGATTGGGAGGAGTACAAGCATTCACTCTACCCACTCTAAGAGTCCCAGACACAGCGGGAAAAGACAGGGCTTCAGGGTGCAGGGTCTGAGCTGACATGAAAGAGCACAGCACACCTTGTGTCATACTCACCACCTCTTGACTTTTTGTGGCAATCAGCTCATTTTTCTGTAAAGCTCTCGCTCTGCAAATGCTTATTCAGGGGGGACACCTGTTCCCTAATCCTCTGGCAAGGTTGTCTGTGGATTCCAGTGCTGTTTGCTGATGCTCTGGGCTTCTCAGGGATTTGCATGCCTGACTCCCAGGAGAAGATGCGAGTGGATTTTATTCTTTGCTTGGCAGCCTTGCCTGGTGGGAAGGCACGAGGTGGGTGCACAGCCCTAAATCCACATAATTGGATGGGTCCCCAATGGAAAAAGCACACAAAAAGAAGCAAATCCTGAAAATAACGCATTGAGCTAAGCGTCACAAGCAAGTTCAACGCTGAGCACCCACGAATAAGCCATTCTATCTGACTCTTCTAAGAGACAGAGATGTCTGCTCTGCCACACACCCCCAGAAACAGCTCAGAAAAGAAATGGAAAAACAAAATAAAACAAAACAAAACACTAGATTTTATCATGTGCCTGCTGAGTCAGCTTCTATTATATTTTAGCACATATTAACTCCCAAAATCCTCTATGAGAAAAACCAGGCGTGGCTCTGCGCCAACAAGTCATTGTCGCTGTGTGGTCTAAGAGAACCCTAACAGAACAGAGTCCTGCCCTCCACAGGACCATGTCCTCCAAGACATGGACCACATCGAGAAGGCACCAGGTGAGCACCGTATGCCTTGAGCCCATCACAGGGCTGGGCCTGAGGACTGTGGGTGATAAATTTTGCAACGATGTGAAGAACAAGGGATGGCTAGTGAGGGTGAAGTGACAGGAAGAGGACTTTCTAAGGGTGACTTGCAGACATTACCTCTGAGGAAGTCGGCTTGCAGTATCCAGCTCCAAAGACCAAGTTTTCCAGGGAGATAATAGACTGTTCTTGACCTGTATCTGGGCCTCCTTTACCAAGCCAAGATCCTCTTCCTGGGCGAGTAAAACTAAAAGGGAGAGAAATGAAGAGGGAGAAATGGGTTGTAACTCAGGCAATGGCACCATTAGCTTAGCCCCTGTGAAGGGTGTTACTGGGAAGCCCACACAGTGGGCAATTTAGCAACATGAGCTCATCCTTTAGGGTGGCTAACATATGGAACGCATGTTGAAGTTGGCACTCAGAGCCCTCTCTGTCGGCAAGCAAGCCAAATTGGCCCAGCAGCCGAGCATCAGATAACAGTTGTTTTTCCTAAACTAAAACCTCGGTGTCCAGGTTTGATTGCAGAGTTGGCACTTTGTGATACATAAGTGCATTTGGGGTTGCAGTTTGGGTTTTCAGTCTATAAAAGCTTTGCCATCACTGCTCTAGCTGGTGTTTGAACAGAATATTTTGACATTTTCATGACCATGGAGTTTAATGGCCATGTGCACTTAGAATCTATGGGTGACACACATTCTGCACTTGTACACCAAAACATCCACCCTCAGTGACACCAGTCAGCGGACTGAGAGATCCTGAGGCAGAGCTCTAGGGCTGCATCAACCAGAGATGGTGGGATGGATCAGCAGCAGAGGTGCAGCTGGATCACAGGTCTTGCTTCTCCTCCTCTGTGGTGCCTCCTCTGTAGGGAGGGCCTCTCACTGTATCCTTCCTTGAACTGCTGCTGGGTCTTTCTACATGAGAACTCAAAACAATGTCTACTCCACGATCCATGCAGTTGTCTGGGAGAATGTTCCAAACCTCCCTAATAATAAAGTATTCACTATATCCATGCTACTCAGGAATGTTGTGACCTGTGTGACAGACAAAAATAGATATCCTGTCCTGCTCTGTGATTCACAGTAAAGATCAGCAGACACTGTGCAAGAGCAACCATTGATGTCATAATGAAAGCAGATTAGGAGAGGTGGTGTGGTCATTGGATTTTATCTCATTTAGGCTCATGGCCATCTCCTCTACCTTAACCTTTTTCACTTTAATTAATCTCTCAGAGAGACTGCTTTCACTCATTTTTCCTCTCAGCTCTCTTGTACTGATTGGTTATGGTTCACTGTTTCATGTTGATCTTTATATAATGAATCCTATCTTATACATGCATTATAGTTCTCCCATAGGACTTAAAATCTTTCCTGGCACAGAGCGTCTGGATAATCAATAACCTCAAGTGGCATCAGCTTTACCACAGCTGCTCAAAAAAATTGAAGAGAGATTTCATCCAAGAGACCCATGCTCCTGCTTAAAATATTGACAGGAAAATAAAGTTAGTAGTATATTTCTGTGGAATTTATTTTCTCAAATGTTAGGCCCACATCACTGGCCAGGCCACATGTTAGGTGTTGAGTGGATGGAGGTGTGGTCCCCACCTTATAGACACCTTGACCTAGAGCAGGAAGTGGACAAGCCATCAGGCAGAATGCAATAGAGGTAAACTGAGGCTGGTGGACTGGTACAGGGTTTGAAATAAGCTTTATGTAAAAGATGCATAGTGAGAAATGGTATCAGGTAAGGAACAGCAAGCAGTGAGCAGTCAGCTATTAAAACCAATCTGCCGGGGGTTGGGTCCCAGCGTCACCTGTCTCTTTTGACATAGCAGTGTTTATGACTTCCCACTGCTTCTGTCTCCCCATATGTCAGAGGGTGATAAGGAACTCCAGCCATGGAGTCATTGTGAGGACTCTGAGATTAGCCAAAAGGCAGCTTTTAGTGCCTGGAAAACAGTGATGACTAAGTAAACCCTAGTAACTATTGTTGGTAATATAATAAATATAAAAGGTCATTACTACATATACACAGCTAGGGTTGATAAAACCTCCGTTATAGTTGTCCCTCCATCCACATGTTTAACCAAGCATGGATTGAAAATATTTGGATGAGAAGGTCTTTATACTAAGGTCTAACAACTATTTTCATGGCATTCACATTTTAGTGACTATGATAAGTGATATGCAGATGATTTAGAGTATATAGGAGGATATACATAGATTATGGAAAAATCTGTACTCTTTGATATAAAGGCCTTGAACATTTTCAGATTTTGGTATGTTTGGGGGTCCTAGAACCAAGTTTCTTCCCCTATTGAGGGATGATAATATAATGTAATATAATATATTATCATTTTCTGATTTGTAGTGACTTGAGAGTTGGGGTAAGTTTACCACTCAGCGACAGTAGGAAAAGTACTGAAGAAGAATGACGTGGCTGGGTGCATACAGATGACCCCAGTAGATTCAGTGGACAAACTGCAAACCAATAACTAAAAGAAACTGTTATATACTTAATTCTGAACCCTGATTAGCTTTCCCAGTGGATGGGAATGCCTCAGAAGAAATTCACATGAAGGGTCAAAAACTGGATTTTTTTTGTTGTTGTTGTTCTATTTCTGGGAAGGGTAAGGGTCTTTTGAGGTTAACTTTTAATTTCATACTTGTTTCGTATTTATTGGCTCTAACTGATGCTACAAAAAACTGCTTTTCTGGCAAAGCCAGTGCTTGCCCTGTTTGACAGGTATTTCCCACAATCTGAAAGGGTTCCCTTTGTTCTTAGCTGCTGAGAGCCAAGAACACTCCTGCAAATCCAGAGAGCATTCTATTTTTACCCCTATCCCTGGAGAAATTTCAGTCTTCACTGACTCTATCTGCGCTCGTCTCCTGCAAAGGGCTGCAGCCTGACTTGGAAAGGACTCTTCCTGTAGGAGGTTACCTTTTCTGCTACGATTCCCCACATCCCCGGGTCCTCATTAATATTATAGCAAAAAGTGTGAGACCTGCTCCGGGTGGTGGGAAAACTTCTTGTTTCCTGACTCATCCTCTCCTCTGTCCTGCCTCCGTCCTGACGTCACCCACCAGCCCCACCCACTCAGCTTCTGAGCGCATCTTCACAGCACGCAGGCCTCATCAGGTTATTCCCCTGCTCAAACCTTCAGTGCCTCCTTCTTACAAAACAAATGGATTTTCAATTCTTTAATGCACCATTAATTACACTGTTCAAACCTACCTGCAATTTACTCTCCCAAATTCATTTTTCACTGTCACAGTCTCATGGCGTGGGCAGAGCACAAGAGCCATTTCTTCCATGAAGCTTTCCTTTCAGATCCCAAGTTGAACTGCTTTTCCCATGCTAAAAGTTATCTGCCATTTATTAAGTGCTTACTAATGTCAGCCATGCAGCCTAGATCAGGGCCTGGAATATGGTAGATGCTAAATAAAAATTAATCTGTTGAATGCATGGCCAAGGGTTTTATAAGTACTACTTTATTAAATACGTCTAACAGCCTCCTTGTGCTTCTCTTGGTATCTGCTGTGAAACTGTGGTCCCAAAGCTCAAGAGAACTGAGTTAATA